ATGACAACTTTGGTTTGGTACTAAGAAGCTAAGGCTTTGTTTTTCCAGACTAGACTATGCCTTCTGATACTCGTGTGTGCCTTCTATGAGCTTCTATTTCGTGGAGAAACAAGTTGAGATGGATTGACACAGGGTTCAGGGCATAGCAGAATACAGAAGTTACTCTTTCCAGAACATGTTTTGACCAGAGCTTAATTAATTCCGGGGGGGACTGAAAATCGGCTCTTTACCTACAACGTGTATTTGACAACACTTTGGGTTTTAACGTGAACCTGTGCAACGCAGACACAACTAAATCTGGCAGCATATTGATGTCACTGAAAGTGTGTTTTATTTATAGAAATCACCATCTCCCCGGTTCCCAGTCAGAAGCCCATACACAGTAATTAAGCCATTATAAAAACACAATAGGACATAACATAATAGAGCCATCCTGCTGTCAAGGCACACTGAGTCGGGGAAAGCGGGGAAACACAAAAGAACACAACTCATCCAGTTTAGTCCTGCTGTGGAAATGTCACAAACCAGTACCCTCCAATGGGTAAGTAGGAGAAAAAGTAATTTCCACAGACAACTGGGCATTGAGTCTTAATTTTCAGAAAATGGAAGCCCAGCCAGCAAGCTGACCAACCAATCCACCAACATTAGCCAATTACCAAAGAGCGGTGGGCCCGAGGAGCAGTCTGTACTCAAGGGGTTTGCAGTCATATTGAGAAACAGGGCAATAGCAAAAATGGGCCACAGCAATAGCCCAAGAGATGCTACGGGAGGTAGGATTAAGCAAGCAACACAGAGGGGGACATTCTGTAAAAGCAGAGGGGAAGCTGCTGTGCGGCTGTAGAAAGGCCGTGGACGTCTGTGTGAGGAGGCAAAGTGGAAGTTCTCTAGAGTAAAAGGAAGCATAAGAGTAAAATATTGGGAAGCCAAACATTCAAGAAAACACAGGCAATATTTGGAGAAAGAGTTTCCAAAATAAAATGATAGTTAGATTATGAGCTATTGTGTTCCTTTTAAGAATAATGCTCTGACGGTGTGTAGTAAAAGAATGAAGAGGTGGTAGGATGTCTCAGTGGGTAAGGTCGCTTGCTGCCAAGGCTGGCAACCTGAGTGTAATTCTATTTGAAATCTCCGTGATGGAAGGATATAGATCTAACTCCTCTGATCTCCACACGTACACTATGACATGAGTGAGCCTTCACACACACACACACACGTAAATGTAACAAACTTTTTAAAATAAAGTTTTTTATAATATAATACTAACTATAATATAAATAATATAATATGATACAAGTTTTTTTAATTCACATGTAGAAGAGAAGAAAGACTGGAAAGAAATATATCAAATTTTATACATTAAAATAGTCACACATTTTTATATAAAATAGATACACAAACATACATGTGCATACATCTTCCAGTAGGATAGATTGAAACTAGGCCCTCATACATGCTAGGCAAGTCCTTTCCCCCAGTCAAACTTGTAGAAGTTTGTCAAGTGGATACTGAGAATGTGGTAATTTTATTTTTCCTTTTGACACTTTAGGTGTTCTAATTCTAAAGTAAGTAATAATATCTAAACAATGATGCAACAAACAAAACCCACACAAACAAACTTAAGAGGCACTTTTTAATGACACCCAGCTATAAATATATATTGTACCATTATTCATCTATAGATTTCTGGACAGAATGTTTTAAGATTTGTCCCTGTTGTCTGCGCAAACTCGGTTGTGTTCCTGAAAACTGAAGTCTTGCTTACCAATGAATGAGGTTGCATTTTTATTCTCTCACAAGTTAGCTAAAGCTAAATAAGGTCATAAGGGTGGGGCCCTAATCTAGTGATGCCCTAGAAACAGAAGAGGCCCTAGAGCCTCACACACAGCAGGGCATGGCCCAGAGGGACACAGAAGGCAACAGTTTGCAAACTAAGGGGGAAATAATTAAGCCTGCCAATATTTTGATTTTGTAGCCTCTGGAACTTTGAGAAAATGTTTCCTTTGTTTAAGCAACTCAGTTTCTGGTATTTTGTTATAGTGGTGCTAGCAGACACTGTTTTTGCCCATAAATTTTTTGCCAAAATATTAAGCTAAAATAATTCACGGTGTTTGTGTACTAGAGTGAACTGCTTATTCCGCTGATGTCTCTTATTTTTGTCATTGGTGTACCAGCCAGGGGAAGACCATGGGCTGTCACCCACAGAAGCAGTGGGTGCAAGAGAGACCATGGAGGACTTCCGTGTTAATCAGGAGGATTTTCCTCTTTCTTTTAATTTTTTTTTGTATGTTAGGCTGTTTTGTTTGTTTGTTTGTTTGTTTGAGAGAAGATTTATTTTGACTTGTAATTTCAAAAACTTCAGTCCATAGTACATGACTCCACTGTTTCTCGATCTGTGGTGAAGCAGTCCACTATGGCGGGGGACAGGGTGGGGCAGAGGGGTTCACTCCATAACAGCCAGGAAGTAAAAAGAGCAAGGGGCCTGGAAGCGATATAACTTCCGTATAACATACCCAGTGATTATCTGTTACTTCACACCTAGTATTCCTTTCAGTAGGAGTTTGTCAATGAATTTGTCCACTGTTGGAAGTACGTTTATCTTCCAACCACCTTCAATGATTGGACCCATCTGTTAGGGGGACCAAACATGCAGCACATGAGCCCTTCTGGGACCCTTCATATATAAACCATCAGCCTGCCCCCCCCCATCCAGGGCTGAGTACTGCTGGTCCCCAAAAGGATGGTACAGGGAGAATATCCTGTGTACTTCCGAGGGTCTCATCAGGACTTCCTTCGGGGTGATGACTTGCTCTCTAGCTTCTGAGCTTGGGTTTGACTGGCAGCCCTTTCCTGCCTGCCCTTCTTGAAAACTGCCCCCACTGAGGCCATCCTGCCACCCAGGAGCACTGCCCACTGGCAGGAAGCTGTGCATCATGATGGAGTAGTGAACACAGTTAAGATTTTACCTCCTGACCCTCGTGTCATTTCTGGAAGGCTAGCTCAGCTTCTGAGCCTTAAGTACAATGAGCTGGGGCCTTTGCTGAATCCAGGATATAATTTTTACCCTCAGGCTAACTGTTCCTTCTTTCTCTGAGTTTGTGCCCTACAAATCTCTTGTTTTTCTAGTCTACATTTCCAGAGTTTCTAGAGACCCAACTGCAAAATATCTCAATTTACCCTTATGGCCTCTTCTTGTCAAAGAAAACTTATCTATGCCATCTGAAGGCTATCTGTCACCAAAGCTTATACCTGACGTTTTGTGGAACACCCACACGTCAACTCAAGAGTCGCATCAAAGCAGGGCTTGGGGGCCGACACTATCATCTTACCACTCGGGAGGATCAGGTGTTCAAGGACATCCTTGGCTATATAATGAGTAAGAAGGTAGCCTGGGCTACATGAAACACTACCTCACAAAACCAAGAAAACAAACAAAAACACCAAACTTAAGGCTGACAGGGAAATTTTGTTTATCTCTGACTTGATTTCCTACCGAAACTGCCTTTATTTACCCTTCTCACTGGTGTGCTCTGCCCTCAGTTAGCTACGTGTGTTTGGAACAGCAGCATAGGCATGCTTCACGTGGCCCTAAGCAAGAGCTTTCTTTATCTTAGCACTTTACAATATAGAATGTCAACTCTGGAAAGCCCCTCATAAGTAATACCGTTTAAGAATGACCATGTTGTGACTTGGTTAGATTGACACTGGGTATCAGAGAGATTGCATGACCGGGACTGAATAAGAGGAGTGCAGGGGTTAGCTCTGGGTATCACATGAAGGTGTAGAGTGGAGACCTCAGCATCCTTGATGGTTTCATCCCCTCCCTTTGCAAGACAGACCTGGCTCAAGGCAGGACTTGTCCAAGGCTGTATGGCAGCGGGAGTTCCAACTGGAATCTGTAGATCCCACTGACCAGCCTGGTCTCTGTCATGGCAAGCATGGTATTTAATTTTACTCTCCGAATCTTCTCTGTTCCATCCCTCGTCTGCTGGAGTGCATAGATTTGGAATCACGTTCAAGCCCTGTCCTCCTATCTCCATTGTTGTCTGTGAGCATGATTCCTGGGGCCAAATCTGCAGAATTAGTTTCTGCTTCCTTCATGTCTAGCTCACACAATGTCCTCCCAAAGATGGCACTGCTTCACCTGTGAGTAAAGTTTATGCATTTATTTCTGCTCATGCACAACTGTGCCAATTACATAAGCACTGCCATTGCATGGCCATAGGGACTTAGTGCGTGGGATGGGGATTGTAGTTTTTATTTTTTTTAATTTTTTTCAATTTTTAATATTTTGCACAGGGTTTCTCTGTGTAACAGTTCTGACTGTCCTGGAATTCACTCTGTAGCCCAGGCTGGCCTCGAACTCACAGAAATCCTCCTGCCTCTGCTTCCCAAGTGCTGGCAGGATTGTAGATTTTAAGACAAGGCTCCTACTCTGGGCACTCTAAGTGAGCTCAGCCTAGGCACACATAACCTTGAAAAGGTAAGACGAGGAGGCAGAAAGTTCAGGGAGATACAGAGACAAAGAAGAAGCAGTTTGAATCATGTGAAAGGGTTGGCATGGTTTAGGAGGAACAGAAAGACTACGGGGCCTTTACAAGCTGGCCTGCAGATAGAAGTCAGCAAGGAAATAGGCACCTCAATCCCACAAACACACATCTGAAATCCATCAACAGATTGAAAAACCAGGTTCTCCCCTGGAGGCCACAGGAAGAAACAACCTCCCGACACCTGGATTTTGGTCAGGTGAAATTTTCACGGGCTTCTGACTTTCAAAAACATGATTGAGAAGTGTGTTCTATTCTAAACCATTGTTCATATGGTGGCTTGCAGTAGAAAATGGGACCACAAGCTAACAGGATTTTTCTCTAGCTGCCTACCCTTCTGTCCCAGAAACCAGTGAGCCCTTTTCTTCACTCAGATGTGCTTTAGCTGATCGGTTGCTAAGAAACTAGCCAAGTTTGCTTCAGCCCCTTCCACACAGCACTCCCTGGTCTTCCGAACTTTACTCCCTTCTTGCATTTACACTTTTCTCCTTGAGAGAAAATGAGATGGCACGGATAACATGGGCCACGGCGAAAGCTAAAGGAAACAGAAAACACAAGGAGGGTATACCAAGAGAAGGTAAAGATGGGTGCGTATTTGGGGTGTGGGAGAAGTGTGCTAGGATGGAGGAGTGGGTGTGGCGGCGCCATGCCAACCCTGGCATTGAGAGAAAAGCCTGTGCATGTGCACGGGGGCCGTGTGGAAGAAGACAGGGTGGAGAGAACCCTTAGCTCTCCCTAGGAACTCATCTAAGACCCCACAGAACCTCCCCTCAGCCTTGAGGATTGGGCTCCACACCGCGTCCCAGCAATCATTCTCCTAACAGGCAGATTAGCAGTGGATCCAGCTCAGGGCAGGACACCTGCTACTGATTGGGCTCCTGGAGTGCCAGCTCTGAGGACCTCCACCCCTCGGCTTACCGAGCCCAAAGCAAGGCGGCAGGGGGACACTCAGCTAGACAATGATGGCTCAGACAAACATCACCAGGTAGGGAGAGGAACGCGGCGGAGCAGACACACCGAACAATCTCCGTAGGTAGCTGCTTATTGTTAGGGTTTGGCACGCTGCCAGGTATTCATATTTCTTCGTTGTCAGCGGTTTAGTCCGGGACAATGGGGAAAGAAGTTCTTTCAGCTGCTCCTCAACTTTTGGCTCGGAGAAGAATAGCTTTTGAAGTTGAACTTGAATGGTCTCCTTACCTTATTTGCCCCGACCCTGAGCTGCACTGGGCTAGCTAGCGAGGAATCTAGAACACAGGCATGGAAGCTCCGTGTTTACGAGATGAGAGCGGAGCGTCCAGTCTCCCTGAGTCACGGCCCGGGGTGGTGATTTAGTCGGGTGTGGGAGCGGAGCGCTCTGTCAACGTGAGAGCCACCTTCTCAAATTGGGAATTTTAACCAAACTCGCAAGCCCCAGTCTCAGCCTTGAAAGTTTATTTGCTCTTGGAAAAATGTCTGGATCTTTTTTTTTTTTTTCCCTGTAAGAAGGGAAGAAAAAGCTAAGCGTAGAGATGACAGGTTGACTTGGATATGAATTCGCTGTTGGAATTTTTTTTTTCTGAGTTTAGTGCCAAAAAGTTCTGCAATTTGCTGAATAAATGTTCCTGAAATTAGAGAGGGGTAGATAATTGAAAGCAAACTGCTTGGGTTATTTAGCAGTGGTGGTACTGCCCTTCTGGGAACATGGGTCCCTCCCTTCTGGGCCAAAGTTCCTGGGCAAATTGATGATTCTGAGCACAGCTGTGCAAATCTCTCGTTCCCAGTGTTGCTGAGGTGCCTTCACGTCTAGGCAGTTTCCTTCTATTTGTGGTAAGATGGGCAAGGGTTTATGTTGATGTTTCACTTGGTGCTTTGTCTGTGACTCTTAAAAAACCCATACAGAACTGAAGAGTTACATGGCCCCAAAGAGAGGCGTACATAGCTAGCAGAAACAACCAAAACCATACCTGTGTCACAGTGAGCTTTGCATCTTGGAATGAGCTCTCCAGAGGCTGGAGAGGTGTCTCAGTTGTTAAGGGTACTTACTGCTCTTGTAGAGGACACTGTTCCTGTACCCAGCACCCATCTGGAGTTTACAATCGCCTGTAAGCCAATTCCAGAAGACGCAGTGGCTTCTTCTGTACCCCCGAGCTCCTGCATGTACATGATACACATAAACTTGGGCTCACATAATAATAATTTTATTATTAATATTAATAATTTATAAAATTAATAAAATAATATTATAATAAAATTATTAAACAGTAATAATGATGATAATTATTATTAATAATACTAATAGGAATAATAATTTTCTAAAAGAAGAAAAAATAGATGAGCTCTCTGGAGTTTCCTATTCTGGCCTTTGTGCATTCTGATCCATGACTGTCTTACCATCTGGCTTCTTCCTAGTTTTGATTGGTATCAGCATCTTCCAGGCATTATCTAGACACCAAGGAAAGGCCATGAAATTATATTTCATCACAGAAAATGGCTTCTCTATAAAGCCTTTACAGAACATGGCTCTCTCAATCAAATAGGCACAACTCTAATTCTTAACTCTACTTGTTCATTTGCATAAAGGTGGGCTAAACTGGGACTTTATACCATCCTTAATTAACACTAAAATCCTTGCTTGATAGCCACGCAACACCAGCTCTAATTAAAGGCCCTGGGATAAATGGTAACCAGTCACATCAGGAAGAATATAGGGAAGGTGACCTCCCTTGGGATGCCAGCTTCTTCCTCGTGGTCTACCCATATCGCAGCCTCTGAGTTTAAGAGACTGCTCTCTGGACTATGGTGCCAGGCTTTCCTCCACAGCATCTTATGGTATAGACAGTTAATGGCTCCACATTGCTGTAGGGGCTAGAACAGGATCCATACTGATCTCCGAGGAAGGGGAGGCTTTCTGATCATGTATTGTGAGCAGGAAACACCGTGGGGAAGTTCTAGCCACTGACAGCAGGCTGGCTGTGATGAGGCAGCAGCCCCCAGCAGATAATCTTCCCTCAGATGCTGCTGACGCTCCTGACTGACGTGGTAATGATGGCTGAGCGTGGAATAAGCCAGTCGATGAATTTCTTCTTTGAACTTCTCAGGGAAGTGGTTCGGAGACTTTGAAAATCTTCAAAGACCTCAGCCCATGAAATCAATAGTTGATTTTTTTTTCCTCCTCTGTTGCCAGAATTAACGCAAGGATTCAGCTGAGAGAGGAGTCGGAAAATTCTCCTAACAAAGACCACAGTGCAAGGGTGCGTGAGACGGGACAGACAGAGTCTGTTCTGAGAGTGCCAGACCAACGAGGATCAACCTTGGTTATGTCTGTGGAATCAAGGGGCAGCAGGGTGGGGACAGAGTGTATTTTGGTGGTTGGGACAGAGAAGAAAAGAAAAGGCCCGGATAAAAGACTGTCACGTGGAACTTGGGAGCAATAACTGAACTGCTTCATCTCTGTGCATGTCCTGAATGCTAGTTTTGAAGCCACAGCGGTGATACTAAAGGCATAATACTTGGTCGGTCCTTAGTAGGTATCAGTTATTATGAGTTTGCATAGAGATCGTGACTTAAAACCCTCACTATACATTCTGTGTGATTTGGTCAACAGCCCCCTCTCCTTTTAAGAAGAGAGCATAGACTCGGAGAAGTCAGCCTACTTCCTCAAGAGACCCCATTTCACTACCACTAGGTATATTTGGGTCTCCCTAACTCTAATACCTCCCTTTGAATGACCTTTTGTCCCCTTGATTTCTTGTTTTTGTTCAGAAGACACAAAGAAGAACCTGATGGACCCAGATTCCGGAAGAGTCTAACACACTTGGGGGGAATTCTTATGCTTCTGGTTTTCAGAGTCCTAAGTTTTATATCGCAAAGTGAGCATAGGCTGCTTCCAACTGTCAGGCACTGGGGAGGAGGCCGTTCCTTTCAGTCTTCTGCCAGGGCTGGGAGACTCTGCTGAGCTCTGCTCAATGAGAGGTTTGGATGCTCCTCTCTCTGTTATGATGGTTCCTTCATCCGTCTGCCCCCACTGGCACTTGAGTTGCTAACAGGAAACCCAAAGGGAAACCTTGCTTCCAGACAGAGGAAATGCATGGTCCTTGAATCAGTGGAATACTGAGAACAGGAACAAGATGTAGCCAAGATGGGACCGTGTTTGCCTGGGAATTGCAGGGCCCAAGGCCTGCTGTCTTTGTGAGTGGATTATGAATTGTCATCCTCCTGCGTGATGCCAGCTAAACCTGCGACAATACAGGGTAAAGAGTTGACTAGGACACATTTGGGATGAGAAGATTCAGCTCCCAGACCGCACCCAGCTGTGGCTATGATTTCTGAAGGCAAAGAGGTCACTGCTTTTGATATTGGACCCCTGAACGCTCACACCTCATCTCCCCACCCATTGTAGGAAGAGCTGCATGGCAGACTCTGACCACTGCACTTTGGCAGTGTGTTGCAGCAAGATCATGTTGGGTCTTGTAACTGCTATAGAACGGTTCACAAGGCAGTCTGTTGCTAGGAGTGAGTGGGCAGTGTGGCCTGTTCCCTTTGGGTTGCTGATAAGGATGCCAAGCAGACAAGAAACACGAAGACTCTAGGTCATCTTTTGACTGAGGTGTCAGGAGTGACAGATTGCCCCTGCTTTTCACTGGAAGAGACTGGACTGGATATTTCTTTCTCTTTTCTCTTTCTCTCTTCCCTCTTTCTCTCTTCCCTCTTTCTTTCTTTCTTTCTTTCTTTCTTTCTTTCTTTCTTTCTTTCTTTCTTTCTTTCTTCTTCTTCTCTTTCTTCCTTCCTTCCTCTCACTCCGTTCCCTTCTTATTTCTCTTTCTTGTTTTTATTCTTTTCTTTTTTGTGGTGCTGGGAATAGAACCGTCAACGGACTCCTACGTTCTACTATCCCCTCTTATTACATTCTTTCTTAATTGAATTAAAAAATCAAGGGATCCCAAGTAGCTTTTTGTTCTGAATATCTCTGTCTGGTTAAGGCTGTGCACCCCATTTCTTCATCCCCATCACTCTACTACTTGCTTGAACCCTTCTATCCCCAATATTCTTCTCTGTACTTTGCTTTTGATTATATTTGACTATACCTCTTCTCTAAATGCATCTTTCCTGTCAATGGCCTGTTTCTAGTTTTCTGCTTTCCACATGTACTACATGTTAAATATACAGAAGATTTGAATCTAGGACCTTCATATGAGAGGGAACAGGTGACATTTGTCTTTTGGGGTCTGGGTGACCTCACTCAATACAATTCTTTTTTAGTTTTATATTTTACCTGAACGTTTCATGATTTCACTTTTCTTTATAGCTGAGTAAAATTTCATGTGTTTATGTACCGCATCTTCATTATCCAGTCATCCGTTGATGGACATCTTTATCAGTCCCATTTCTGAGCTATTGCGTATACAGCAAGAATGAGCATGCATGTGCAAGCGTGTCTGTAGTAAGATATAAAGTCCTTTGGGTATATGCCCAAGGATGATATAATTGGGTCACATGACCTTTCTAGTCCTAAGGTTCCCCCCCCCCCCCCAGTTTTTCCAGACAAGGTTTCTCTCTATATCTCTGGAACCTGTCCTGGAACTCACTCTGTAGCCCAGGCTGACCTCGA